CTGGAAGCTGAGCTGGAGAAGATGGAAGCAAAGCTTAGTGCTGCAGTCAGGGAGAAAACGTCTCTCTCTGCAAGCAACACTACGCTGGAAAAGCAGCTTACTGAATTAACCAGGACTAACGAGCTACTCAAATCCAAGGTATTTGGGCCACATGATAATACTGACAATTGAATAAGTAAGAAACATGTTTTTTCTCATACACTATTTTTTGGGGGAATTTTAGACTCTAGTTTAGTCTTTTTTCCTTCACTAAATGTACCTTAAATATTAAGCTGCTTCCAGTAGGGATTATTATTGTATCTTTTTTATTATGTTGCCTAGCACATGAGAGTTTGTAAACAAACATGTTACTTTTTGTCTTAATGTCTGACATTTTCTCCCCCTCTGTCAAAGTAACCTCCATAAATAAGGACATTAATCAAATTTGCAGAATTTGCATCTAGAAGTCACTTTAAAGATCTTTCTTTGAAATAATGAGTAGGATGATAGCCGGCTTCCATCTCAAATCCTTTTGGGAATGAAGTGCAAAATGAATCAATCTGTTCAATCAATAAATTGTGTTTATCAATACTAATAGGTCTTAGCATGGTCATTTCACTTTTTACAGAAGTAGAAGGAGGCTGTAATCACTGTTCGGTTTCAGAGCCATCGATTCACAGCCTACGTGCTGGGCTCTTTGCTTACAAAGGGAGTGAGGATGCATACGCATTAGCCATGGGAAAGGGAACAGATCCCTGGGCTCCATCCAGGAAGAGCTGATTTAGTTGGCCTTGGATGGACTCCGTACCCCTCACATATTTCAGAGTAGACCAGGCAATTTAAATGCATTTTGTTAAGCAAACACCCTTTATGAAATCTCCTCCAAGAAGTTTATTTTAGAGCTTTGCAATGAACTTTCCAGAATATAGAGGTAGGTGACCACCCAAACTACTTTCAGAAATAAACCAGAAAGTCACATGAGGGAGGAGGGACGAGAACAATAGTGGTGTAAATAGTAATCCTGGTTCGCCAAAGGCTGTTTGCTCTGTTAGAATATACTGCAGGCAAATAACAGTCCCAGTAACTGGTACTAATCAATAGTAATCAATACTTCAGTGATTTGTTATGTAACTTAGCAGAACATATTTCTGAAGCTTTCACATGTTTGTTGTACTTAGTTTTCTGAAGATAGTAACCAGAAGAACCTGAGAATTCTAAGCCTTGAGCTGATGAAGCTTAG